CTGGGTAAATATCAGTCTTTCTGAGGTTCAGTTTCTTCTCCTTGAGTAAAATCAATTAAGAATAAAAGATCAGTGTTTGGAAAGGTAAAAGAAGGGCAATTAATTGAATCTTCTAAAAAGTGTTTTAATCTCTAAGACCTTCCTTATCATTATTAGGTTATAATAAACCTTATCCACCTCAACCTTTTTTTTGTTAATGACTAGGGCACATGATATATTAAAAATCACAAAACAAAATCCTTTCTTCAGTCAATTTATATTCATGTCCTAATTATCTACAGCCAAGTAAGATATCAACCCCAAATTTGGTGCTTAAGAGAATAAATCATTTTTTCATTATTGCTCATGATTCTACAGACCAAGTAAGGTCTCTCTTGCGGTTGATGTCTAGAGCTAGAAGCATCTTAAGACTAAGATCTGGATGGTACTTAAGCTGGAGACTAAAAGCAACTAGGGCTTTTTAGTCATTTTTCTGTATGGTCACTCTCCATTATGGCAGCTGCAGGGTAGGAACTCTTTTGGAAAGAAATAACCTCTTTTAAAAAATAAAGTAACATTCACTTGGTCTAGAGTAATTTTCCTTAAACTACTTTAGCGTTTTAATTCACTTTCATTTTCCTGAAATTCAACATCACTAATATAAAGACGTAAGTATACAGTATATTCAATTTCTTGACAGCAATACTCCAGTTGGATAATATTAACAGTAAAATGAACCTGTGTTAGTTAGCATAGTCAGTTCAAGAAAAGTTCTGTAAACACAATGCAAGTACTATAAATCTAATTACTAATGGGATAAAGAACTTGACATTTTTTGATGCCTACAAAGAGAACTATACAGACTTTTAAAATCATTTTTACATCTCAAACTATGTTTCAAAATTGAAATGTCATAAGACTGATTTTTTCCAAAATGTACAAATTAGCACAACGAAACAACATGCAACAAATTAGCTCAACACTTGATTAAATAGTATCTCCACTTAGAACTAAATTTCAAGGCCAGGGATTTTAGCTCAGGGGCACCGGGCCTGCCTCACAAGGTCCTGAGTTCGATCCCTGGTAGGGGAAAAAAAGAAAAAAAAAAATTTCATAGAACTAAATTTCAAATCTTTTGAAGTTACATACTAGCTTACATAACAGAATGAAACTAGCTACTGGATGTTGTTTTTAAAAACTTCAAAGATTTAATATATAAACTCGTTTTTCATTCAAGGACTACCAATCATGAGAAGTCCAGATTCTCATCTGAAAACCACCAGCTCGGGAAGCCATGAGACTGTTAGGATACAGAGAAGGCAAAATGGTAAAGCTCTGCATCAGACAATCTGGGGGGGGGGGGCTATTCTTGGTAAATTAGTGCTATTTACTAGGACTATATGAACACAGACCATGCTTGCTCTTTATTTTTTTAACATAATACTATTTCTGTGCCTACACAGTAACTATTTGCCTGACTCTAGTATGCATGTCCTCAATCTCTGAATAAAACTGGTGCACAACAATTCCAAGTAAACTGAAAAATGAAGCCCAGGGATAGAATTTTAATTTCCCACCTTCTATAATTGGCTAAAAAGGAAAAAGGAGTATCAATTATCCTATGCCGTATATAGCACTGAAAGGTAATTTTATTCTAAAGACTTAGAACAGCAAGGGCCATAGTATGCATAAACATATGTATACAACTATTTGAATATGTCCACAAATGACATACTGAGAAAATTCTTACCTGTAGATTTCACATCTCAAACTAGTCAGCTATTAATGAAGTCCAATCATATAAATATTTAAAGCATACAGACAAAATTACTATACAAAAAGGAACCTGGTGAACATCACTAATGTATTTCTTGTCCTCTTGGAGCCTCCAGTCTGATAATGTGAAAAGCATGTTACTTATAAAAGTGGAAACTCATTATATACATACAGTATCGGGTTAATCTCACAATCATTCTTTGCAGAGAAACTGTAAGTGCTTAAAAAAGAATTTACAGATGTTTATAGTAATAGAAAAGTAGTGATTTCCTCCTCATATAGAAAAATAGTATTTACCAATAACAACCAACATTCTATAACACTTTGCAAAGCTACTTTTTCACAGGAATCATAGGGAACTGGCAATCTGTCCAGTTATACAGCATTCACCTTCTTGAAGCATTATAGAAACCAATGTCTGTTTATTACTTAGTTAACAAAGAAATCCCAACAATTCAAGAGTTCTATGATTTAGAGATTTTTTTGCCTAGTATGGTGGCACAAACCTGTCTGTAATCTGAGGCAAGAGAAATGCAATTTTAAGACCATCCTAGGAAGGAAGATACCAAGTTAAAAATCAGCCTGACCTTGTCTTTAAAACAAAGAAACTCTTTTAACTGTTCTGTTAATACACAATTGCTATAAACAGTAGTTTTGCAACTTTAACTCATGTTCTGTGAAGACTTTACACCATTTATGGGATTATTTAACAAGGACTTATTGTTTGTGACAAGACTAAAATTCTTACACATAACTGATGACAATAAAGCTTTGACTTTCACTTTTCCTTGTTAAATGAGACAGCTCAAGCATAAATCCTAATTCTAGTTATAATTCTAGGCATGTGACAATGATCAAATGATAACATGCTGCACACCTACTCCAGAATGCTTTCAAAATTAAGTAAAAATTCCCAGTAAGTTTGTTCTAGCTTTCTGTGTGGCCCAGGGGTTTCTCTTTCTTTTTATTTCTGGGGTGGGGGGTTGAGACAAGGTTTCACTATATAATTCAGGCACGCCTGTAACTGAAAATGATCCTCCTGCCTCAGCTTCTGAGTGCTGGGATTACAGGTCTGCACCACCATGCCCAGCTAGCCTAGGGGTTTTTCTTTGCTCTGGCTAAAAAGGTAAAAACTTGCATCACAATTTTTAAAATTGGAGTTCAATTGTGAAAATTAAGCTTTGGAAAAAAAAAAAAAAACTAAAGAGGCAAAGAACCCTTCCAAAAGTTTGAAAATTTATCCTAAGTATTACTTCTAGGTTATGTTACTACTTTTCAATAGGAATGTTTAAGTATTTGGAGGGCATCATCATTATTAATCCATTTCTGAAACAAAACTTTAAAACCATCATCATTTTTCTTCTTCAATGTTCCTTAGAGCCTACTCTATTATTCATTTAATTAAAGTATTTTTATCTTCACAACTAATTCTTCAGAAGTACAGAATTTTACTTATTCTTGTGTTTGGTTCATCTCACCTATCACATCCACCAGACTCCCATATGCATAGCCTATAAATTATACCTCGACAATAAAATGTTTAATGAATGATTAAGACCACCTATTTTAATAACTGGATTTACTACGGAAAACTGATTTCCTTTTTGCAATAACACCATACAATCCTGTTATTCCAGAATTCTTCAAAAAAAAAAAATGGGAGGGTGGTGCGGGGTGGGGGGACACTTTGGGGATTAGTTTAAGGCTGGAAAATAAAAGTGCTATAATTTAATCAACACACTGCTAGCGCATCCCACCCAGTCCACTCCCCAAGTTTGTCCTTATGCTAGAGCCGATTTACTGAAAAGTGTACCACTCCTAGGTAAAAACCAGAAAAATTAAAGATGATCACAAGTCTAATACACCTTCACTCTAGTACCCCTTTAAACAAATCACCAATCCAATCAGCCACACAGAAGAGATTTTAGATATACAGGGCAGCAACTGGGCCATGTTTTCATCCATTATAACTGCTAGAAAACTACCATGGTAATCTTAGGGTTAAAAAAAGTCTTGCGGCAGCATCCAATCTACCTTTCTCTAGACAGGTACCGATCTAGGATCTACCAAAATATCTGTAGGGCCTGAGATCTGAGTATTTAACAAAGAAACGGCATTCTATCCTAGTAACATAAGTTCTTCCATTCTACCCTAGCAACACAGGTTCTTCCACTGGAGGTTCCTCCAACTGAACTGCGCCCATCTGTTCCTGGTTGTACTCTCTGTGAGCCAACTATGCACTACGCGTTTCTAGCAAAATAGCTGCCAGACCGTGCGGGGGGGGGGGCACATTATTTTTTCAAGCATCGTGCTTTCCAAAGTACTTGAGGAACAAAATGAGCATTTCTTGCCCCTTTGCCTATTTAACGAAACAACCAAAAATTACTTGTGCTTATTTTTTGAAATTAATAACCTACTTGTCTTATTAAACTACTTGTGTAGATGTGGCATTATGGACTTTCGAAATTTCGCCTAAGAGGAACGCTGTTCGGAAAATACGCATTACACCCGCATAATCCTACCAGGAACTAAGCCCACAGGCCTGCAACTCAGAGGAGGCCTTCGCTCACCCGCTCCCAGGACCGCTCCAAGGAAGGTCGGGAGCGGATCCGATCAAAGGGAAACCCTACGCACAAGTTACTAGGCCTCGGGAGCTGCGCAGGCCAAAGGCAGCCCGGTCCCCGCTACGGTGCCGTCTCGGGGGGGCCGACGCCCGCGAAGCCGAACTGACCTCGACCCCGAACCGGCCGGCGACGCCCGCTCCGACTACCCGCCCGCTTCCGCCGTCATCTTCCACACTAACCTTTCTCCTCCCGACTGTCGGCCGCCATCGCGCCCCTCCGGCTTCGGCTGCCGCTAGGACGCGACTCGCGCGGGTGCCGCAACCGCGGCGTGGGTCGCACGGGCCCGTCCGTCAGTCCGTCCAACGGACTGCGCGCTCCGCACTGGGCCTCGATAACGCGCCCTCCTCGACGCCCGCTTCTCCCCTCCCTTTTCCCTGACCTCCTTCCACTCCCGTCTCCAGTGGTCGAGGCGCAACCTTCCTGCTGGGGCTCGGATCCAGGAGGGGTAAAGGAAAACAGAGAGAAACAGATGGCGACAGCGGGCGGCGCTAAAATGGAGCCGACTTCCTGCGCGAAACAATCCCGCTCCCGAAATGCCCTGCGCTGTGTACGCTCCTTTCCCCGTTGAGGACGTCACAGTGCGCCGGGGCGGGACTCATGCGACGTCAGCACGTTGCCCCACCCCGTCCCGCGCAGCCCGGAAGTCTCTGGACCGAGATACACTGCTGTTGCGAAGGTTTCCCGGGTTGTTAAAATCCAGGTTACTGTGCTGTAGACACCTAGGTGATGCAGTTTTCCCATCTGAAACGCTTCGCGGAGGCCCCTGTCAAGCCCTGAGTAGTTAGGTAAGAAGTGACAATCTAAAAGAATGTTATTTGATGTTTATTCATTTAAGTCAACCAGGGTAAAGATTCCAGTTACTCATGTATTGCTCTAGGCCCTCGGGTTAAAAAATATTGTTTGGGATTTGTTTTCTGCCCTTAAGGAAATGTGGGTTTATATTATAGTCAAAGGAGGCAAGGCGTAAGTAAACAAATTTAAACTTTCGTTAAACTTCAAGAGAGACACATAAAATGTTAATATAGTGAAAGGGGAAACTTTTTAATGGAAAAAAACTAGCCTGTGTGGTGGCGCAAGTCTGTAATCCCAGCACTCGGGAGGATGAAACAGAACGATCACCATGAGTTCCAGGCCAGCCTGGGTTACATGGTGAATTCAAGGCCAGCTTGTACTGCAAAGTGAGACCAAAAATAAATAAATAAAAAGGAAGTCTACTAAAAGCCTCTAGAAGGGGTGAAGTTGAGTCTGATGCCTAAAGGATAAAGGTTGAAAAGGAACTAGCTAACAAAAGATAGAGCTAAATCTTCAAGATAGCTAACAACATAATGCTCAGAGAGAGAGAGAGAATTTGATGTGGTTGGGGATCTAAGAACAGTGAACCTGAACCTAGATAAGGAGTAAGAGGACAAGTGGCTGAGATAAGGTTTGGAAAAAAGCCACTCCTGAGAAGTAAGGACCTACTATGATTCCAACCAAAACAGAAGCAGTACAAAATGTGTAGGAAGACTGGATTTTAAGATTGAGCCCCCTGGACTATGGGATTAGAAAACACGTTAGGTTTTCCACAGAGCCTACACGAATTTATGGTGACTGGCACTCCTTAGAGGAAGACAAAAATCTAGCTTCTCTGAAGCATATTATTCAAATATTCATTATTAAATAAGGCAAATGCTGTGTCATCAAAGGTTGCAAAATGGTGCTTGCTAACCTAAGACACCCTGAGCCAGCGCAGTGTTTCTGTGCTTTTATTGAGGTCTTTTTAAAAAGTCTAATTAGACTTCCACCTCTCCTCTTGTCCTTGGCCATTGTTTCTGATGAAAGTATGTGAATTCAGCGAACAAGTGATAGTTGGATTCTGTAACTCTTAAGATTAGAGTGTGGAGAGTAAAGAGGGAAGGAAATTCTGTCCAGAGTCATAGAGAATATCAATATTTATAGGGAAGGCAAATGTACAGTATGAGCCTAGAACATTTTGGCATGCCAAGATGTTAGTGTCTACATCAGAGTATGCTAGGATCTTATCAAAATGACTCAGGAGAAGAACCAACTAATATGGTTCCAATTGGTAAAACATAAGACTTTTTGAGCATCTGTAAAATAAAATTGCATTGGGTAGTAGTGTATCAAATATGTTTAAATCCATGAATTCATTGTGATCAGAACAATTAATCAGTTACCCTTTGAATGATGTAGGAAACCAGTTTATTATTTTGATACCTGGTAAAAAGAAATCATTTATCCTGTCTTTCCAATTAGAATCGTATCAGGGTTATCAGGCAAGTAGTTGATAAAAGAAAGTGTCTCTTTTTGGAAGTTTTACAGTTTATGTATGGCCAGAGCAAAGCAATGGCAGAAATAGGATATCACCATTTTACAACCATTAATCAAACAGATTAATGCATTGATTACTCATGGGTGCTAATTAATATCACACAAAGAAAACATCAGATGTTATATGCATCCTGACAGCTGTAAAGTAATCTTGCCAAAAAGTTAAATTGAATCTCATAAAGACTATGGATGCATCTTGACATGACTGCTGTGACTGTATGAATTCACCTTGAGTTGTAACAGCCATGACTGCAACCTCTGAGAAATCCTAGTTGGTTTTCTCTGCTTATTTTCCCAACTATGCTATAAATAGAACTATTAGAGTGCTATATGACCCTTGTGACCAAACCCTGGCCCCAGGAATGTGTCTGACTCCTTGATGCTAGCTTGAGATAAACCAGATGCATTCTACCTTACATGAAGTCATTTTTGTCGATACCACCTTATCAGTTTCATCTTCCTGACCCACATTGCTATGACAGGGATCTATCTGGTCTTGCTGCTGCCCAATAATTGCAGTTTGTACAATCCTGGAACTGTCTGCCTCTTTTCTTTTAGTCTCACAGTATTTTATGGCTTTAGTTCACAGTCAAGGGTTGGAAGAGAGGGTGAGGGTGGGAGTGAGAGAAAAGAAGGGTGTTTGTTCCCTAAAAGAACATTTGACAGTATTTGGAGAAATTTGTGGTTGCCACAACATGGGAGTCCTACTGGCATATAATGGGTAAACGCCTGGGATCCTGCTGAACATGCTATAATGCATAGGTAAGCCTGCCAAAGCAAAGAACTGCTCCAGCCAAATGCCACTATCCAATGCTGAGAAATCCAGGACATAAGCAAAGCACAGGTTAATATGTTTATTCCCACCATTAGCAAAATCCAGACAAGGGGAAACTACAGGATGAATAAGTATCTTCAAAAATAAATGGAGGGAGAGTAAAGAAAGGTGGAAGAGGAATCTATACATGTACTACAATAGACTTGGTTGAAATGCATATACTCCAGTTGCAGTACATGGGTGTTTTAAGTTGCATTGTTCCCCTAAAATAAAATGAAATTCTGACCTGCAATTCTTCAAAATACAACTTTATTCAAAATAAAGATTTCTCAGATATACTTAAGATGTATACTAATTAAAATGTCTTAAGAGGTCATAGCAGGGTGGGCATTTAATTCAAGAAGACTGTTACATTTATGAGGGAGAAGAGACAGACTCACACAGGGAGAAGACCACTATGGGACAACAGAAACTACAGGATGCAGCAAAGAAACGCCTAGAGTTGCAAGCAAAACAGAAACTGAAAAAGGCAAAGATTCTTTCTTACAGGTTTCAGAGAGAAGCTAGCCCTGTGGACATCCTCATGGATTCTGAGAAAAAAGTGGCAGTTGAATTTTATGACCCTAAAAAGAGTATGTAGAGTGAGTACGGAAGGAGAATTAGCCCTTAATTTCAGATTTCCAGCCTCTAGAACTTTGAGGCAATAAATCTGTTTTTCTAAGTCACTCAGTTTCTGGGACTGTGTTATACCAGTTGTAGGAAACTAGACCCTTACTTGGATACTGATTGAAACACATGAGCACACACATACATACACATGTCATATATATTGTAAATACCTGATGATTTTGAGGAATTCCATTTTTAAAATTGTGATGTTGTATTTATGAAAGTTGTATAACTTCAAAATATATATATATATGTATGTATATATAAAACATTTTTTATATATTTCAGGTAAAATAGTTATCTAGGATTTGTTCTAAATAAATTGGTAGAAGGCACCAGAATGAAACAGGTTTGCCCTTGAGTTGGTAATTGTTCAAACTGTGTGACACTTACATGGATAGACATTATATTCCCCTATTTACTATTTCTTTATATTTGATAATTTTTAAAGCAGAAAAAATAAGTCAGCAGAGAAAACTGAGGAAATATAAAAGTGCCCTTTTCCCATGTTCCATATTTATCCTGTAAGAGCTAAGAATAATTGAAAATAATTTTTAATGTAGATAGAATTCTGTTTAAATCTTTGTTATTAAAATAAGACTAAACACGAGGACAGCTCTAAAATATATGGCTTTAAATACAGTTGCATCTCTAAAAGGCAAAGTTATTGTGGTTATAAAAGATTGAATGGTAGTTTTGTTGAGCATTGGTCTGTCCAAGAAAGCTATTGGGTTTAGTGATTAAAGCACAGGCTTTGCAGTCACAAAGACCTGGGTACAAATTCCAGCTCTGCCACTTACTAACATAAGACCTTAGAGAAATTTACCTCAAATCTTTAGCATCTTTATAAGTGAAAACTTAGAAATTATTTCCCAAGGGTTGTTACAATAAAAGGATCAGAAAAAAATTAAATGTGCAGTAAGTAAGCTGGACTTATAAATTCATTATAGTCATTTGGCATGTAATGATGAAATTATGAAAATCACATTATTAGGAAATACCATCATTTTATGAACATCGTAGAGTGTACTTAATGCAAACCTAGATGGCTGATCTCTTAATATGGCACAAGACACCTGGTAAACACAAGATGTGTGAGGCTGCTGTTGGTGTAAGATAGCATAATCTTTTACAGTAAATTAATTTTGGAAGTGGAAGTATTAATATAGTAAATAAGTAAACTGGTAATATAGTAATTTATTATCAAGTATTATATACTTAACATAGAATGTGCTATACTTCTATACACCTGTCAGCATAGTAGGTTTGTTTATATCAGCATCACAAACACATGTAATATTTTACACTACAGCATTAGGATGATTACCACCTAAGTTCAGTTATAATCTTATGGGACCACTGTCATTGTTTTCTGTCAGTGTGTTCCAGTTAAACTAAAATGTTATTTGGTCATGGTATTCACCTGACTATAGATGTCATCGAGAATTGCAGTTTCTCCCTTACAATAGGGGAGAGAATGCTTTTCCATCCCTTTAAAGAAGTCCTGTTCATATCTACAAAACATATTGCAAATAAAGTCTGCTGTGACAGAGGAGAGACTACAAGCCATGCCAGTTTCAGGACCTAGAGTAGCTGAACTCAAAAACTCCCATCTTGAGGAAGGGGCTAGAGTGAGTGAAAGAATACTAACAATGCTTAATTTTCCTTTCTTTTAAAGAATGAAAATTGGTAAAAATCTGTAGACAGGTCTCTGTCCTGAAACTTCTGTCCTTTAATTAAAAATCAAAGCTTAGAGATAGGAATCATTCTAACATTGACATGTCTCAAAGACCCTCCAAACCCACATTACTTGTGTTGGTTTTTATTTTGTTTTACCCAGTACCAGGGGATTAAACCCAGGGCCTTCACACTGAGCTACATCCACAGCCCCTGCCATTTTTTTGTTTAGTTTTTTGTAGCATTTTATCAATTTCTGTGGCATAAATACTCCTCCCATGATCGATTTCAAAGTACCAATGTGACATTACATCACTGAACATTGGAACTGGG